AGTACCCTTTTAGTCTTGGTTACAATCAGTTTTCTAATTTACTCACCGGAATATAAAGGGTTAACCTGTCACTGTTGTAATCTGTTTTGCATAAACCAAATCATCTTAAAAGAGAGAAGAAAGACAAAAATCGTCCCATACTATTATTTACTTCATTCGAATAATTTCTGAATTTTTACCTTGTATCAGTGATTTAAATTTGAACCGGCGGTAGCGGGTTCAGCGCCTCTGTAATTCATTAAATTCGGCCCCCGTAACAATTTACATAGAATTAAAATTTGACATAACTTCATGGATCTCAGAATCCAGGTTTCAGATTAGGCCCATCCATATATAGAAAACAAACTGCTCTCTCTGACCATTACATAATGTTTGTTTAAAGTCTTTATAAAAAAATAACTGTATGTATATAAGAAATTAGCATTGTTTAATTTTATTTTTTCTTTGCAATAATCTCTAGACTGCAGTGCAACTTTGTGAACAAGTTTAAGAAAAATAAGTTATTTTTTTAGTTACTCAGCTCAACAGCAGTATAAACTATTCTATATATATATATATGTAGTATATACTAGTTTTCAAGCCCTCAATGTAATTTGTCACCAGTGTAAAACAATTTATTTTCAAAATTAAAACAAAAAGATCTAATTTTTATGTGCAAACTCGCAATAAAACCACAGGGGCGGTATCCTGGAGAGTTTATAACCTCTAGGAAACGTCAAATTGTAAAAATAAAAATTAAAAATTGGTTTTATTCTAAGAATAAAGCAAGGGCCAATAGAAACAAGTACTTTTTCAAGGTTTAGGAGTTTAAACACAATTTTTGGTTTGAAATCAACGAAGCATTTTTTCTATATTTTTTGACATGGCAATTTTCTTTAAATTAAAATCCTTTTTTCTAGTTTTACCCAAGAACTTTTTCGTTGAAGTTTATCACCGGCCGATGATGTTTTTTTTTCTTTATAAAATTAGAGAACTTTACTTCAAAGGTAGTTTCAGACTTGGAGAGTCGATAATGCTTACCTAATACTAAATCCTGTACATTTATTTTCTTCAAAATAATTTTAAATTTTTTTATTTTTATTTTTTCTTAAGAATGTTTTAAAAAAGAATGATAATCAGGCTTAAGGCGTGACGGCAATGAATATTCATTCGAATGGTATAGTTGACCTGAGTATGTAGTATTGTGGAGAATTTTTTTAGGATTCATTTAAAACTATAATAGTTTTAATGATGTATATTTACTGAGTTTGAGCACAAAATCGAAGTTCAAAATTATCCATTTGGGTAGGGCTGGGCAAAGTTCCGTTAACGGAACGGAGGTTTTCGAAAATTAACGGAAGAGTCCGTAAACAAACGGCAAAAACCATTATTTTTAAATCGATAATGAAACAGATTTTCAGCTTTTGAAAAAAAAACGGAATGGAACTGAGGTTTTCGAAAATTAACGGAATAGTCCGTAAACAAACGGCAAAGCCGTTAATTTTTAAATCAATAGCGAAACGGATTTGCCGTTTTTGAAAAAGGGAATGATTTCTTAAACCGTTCACAAATTTATCTTTAATGCCGCTAATAATTTGATAGATTGTTAACAGTTTTTGAAAACTTTCTATTAACGTCCTTAATAAAATTGAGATCGTTAACTAACGGTAATTTTAAAAAAAGAAGGAAAATCCCGTTAACGAAACAAATATCCCGGTCTTACCTTTAAAATTAATGGCTACCTGAAATTTTTCTTTATTAACGGTTGGAACTAACCGTGAACAAAACAGCTAGAAAAGGTTGGAAGGTGCCCAGCTCTACATTTGAAATTTTCTCAATAAATCAATGTAAGAATTTATTATTTCTTTTTCATCAATATATTGAATTTCTTATTCTTCATAAATTTGTTCGCAGATTTCTTCAAATTCTTTTAATGTCGTCTTTTCAATAAAAATTCCAGGAAATCAACAGAAAATGTTTGTGAACAATAAGACATTTCAGAAACCAATAGCTAAATAAGATTTCTTATTTTATATGGTACTAGTTAATTTTTATTTTCTCAACCTGTTCCTAAACAAATTAATAGTTTTCTGTCGAATTTTTACAACATTTTTGGTCGTCGTTATTAAATATTGTTTTTTAAAACTGATTCTCAAATCATTCCTCAAAAATGATCAATCTATGAGGATCTTAAAGATTAAATTAGCGCTCTTGCTGACCAAATATGGACCTTAAAAACGTCTTATTTGTCTCAAATGATTCCTAAAAATATTTTCCACAATACTGCATTCTCAATTTAACTATAACCATAAATTTCCGGCCACTCCCTTTAAAGGATCTTCAAACTTAATCTCAAATTTACACTCATTTTATAGAGTGAAATTTTCGATTCACAAAAGTACCCTTTTAGTCTCTATCTGAGTACTAAAAATGAGGAAGATATATCCGTTTCTTCCAGAATGTAATATTCTCACTATCATAAATCTGATATCCGCAGGCAAAATCGAAATTGAAAGTAATAAATTTTGCATACCACCATTGTTGCTCAAGTAAAGGTTTACAGGGTATCGGTGTGAATAAGATATCACTCCTGTACGCCGGTCCATTAGCGTCTGATCCAATCAGGGTTCAGTCATGTGTTTGTTACTATTCTGAACCAATAGAAATAGTATGGCGGTAACATCTATCTTTCTATCTATCTCATTATCCAATCAGAGTTATGAATCCTACAATCGGCGCTATCAGTAAATGTAAATATTTACTTCTACTGAAACTATAGTGGATATCCTACTCTATAAATGGAGGATTATTTAAAATTACGCCTACAGTTCCTTTAAGTTAGAAAATCACTTGCAGAAACATGAATCATGCTAAATGTTGGTTTTGCAACTCAAACTTAGGTAACATAAATTCCGCGTTGTTACGTAATACGTAGTTCTATTTTTTTGTGAGCAAAGTTCCCTTTATTTCTATAAAATGATGATGAAATGTGTTTAAAATTTTAAAGTTTATCCCACTTTAAGTACAATTCATCTGCAGTGCCAGTGCAGCTAATTCATTTTCCCCCAAATATTGAGAAAAGGGTTAACATCATCAGGTTGGAAAGATACGGCTGGATTAACAATTTGAATTTGTGGCAAAGACTCGATTCCTTTCAGATTAAATTTAACATTTGGTCCACAACTTTGGTAAATTTTAAGTAATTAAAAATAAATTAAGATAACTGACTTAACCTTTTGTCATTTTTTGTATCATTCTATTTCTATTTTTATTTTAAATAAAATTATTTAAGCAATGTTATAATATCTATTAACAACTGCCTTGTGTCATAATACGGGAAATTATATTTTTGCCGGGATTTTACTTAATTTAGTTTGTGTGAGGGTAAAATTCAAGCCTTTAAATCCCTAACATACGTTCGGGATTTAAAGGCTTGAATTTTAATCTCAAACAGACTAAATTAAGTCAAAAATAAAAATCCCGTCAAAAATATAATTTCCGAAATTATACACAAGTCAGTTGCTTATATAATTTTATTTCTTTTTAAACCGAAAAACACGAGAAAAAAAAACTTTTCAATCCGCAAAATTATAGTAAAAAATCCAGAATTTGTCAGTCTTCTGGGACATTATTTCTCATAATGTCCTAAGACAATTATGCGAAATAATATCCCAGAAGATTTTCAAACTACAGGAAAATACATGGGATATCAATTCTCTCATATTGGAATAAAAACACTAAAACCCCAGTCCTGCAAATTGCAGCCAAACATGACCTAGAGCTGAGTACATATCCTCTAAATGTAAAGCACAAATAGATTATTAAGTACAATAGGTGGCTACAGAGAAATGGACAAAGGAATTCAGTCTTTTTCACAAACTCAAATTTTTAAATCCCTACATCTTTGCAACCTGATGCTGTAAACCTGTGATATTTCAAACTTAGATTACTTGATCTATCATAATTCATAGTTTGATATATCTAAGATTTAAGGCATAGGGTTGCAAAGATATACGAATTAGAAAATCATAGTTGGGGCAAAGACTCAATTCCTTATACACGACGTCACAAATGTCAAATATAACAATGAAATCGAAATTTGCTCACATTAGTTGACGTGTTTTCCTAGATTAAATTAAAAATATGAACAGAAAATAAAGAACACATAAAAATGCCCTTATTTTACTGTAAGATAAGCACTTTTTTTCTAAAATTATCACTATGTACTGAGAGTGTACAAAGGAATTGAGTCTTTGCCACAAACTCTGAATTTATAATCCCTATATCTTTGGAACCCAATGTCGTAAATCTTTGATATTTCAAACTTATATTATTTGATCTAACAGAATTCATAGTTTGAAATAGTTAAGGTCTACGACATTGGAATCCAAAGATATAGGGTTTAGAAAAGCAGAGTTTGTGGCAAAGACTCAATTCCTTTTACGTTGCCATCTATTGTACTAGAATCTATTTGGTAAGGCATATGTAATATGTGTCAGAATAAAGGTCTAACCCTTAGTTAGCAACATATTCTTTTCTTTACCACCTTTATTATTCTTCATTTTTAGTACTCACCCCAATTCTATCAAGGTCGAATTATTTTCAGTGCTTTTAGATCTCAACTTCATTATTTCTTTTGACAGTGTTGGCCTATAAGAACAGAACAGGACAGTTGGTTTAAACAACCCCTTTAATAACTCTATACGCTTCTAGTATATTTATCTGGTTTTTTTTAATGATAAATTGATTATATACCACTACATGTGTTGAATGAGTTTGAGTCATTCCAGGGTTATTGGATTTCGTTGCAGCATAGTTCAGGGCCCAAAAGATTTGTCAGTCTCCTATTGGTTATGAGTTTATACGGGTCCGGGAGAGAGAGAATCCTTTGTCAGTTCATCAAAAGATTTGGTACGAGACGGGCCTCTGGTCGTCGATAATGCCTTGATGTTTTGTTGAAGGATTTTTTCTCTTTCAGATAAATGCAATGTGTAGCTTGAGATAAACCCTTATTGAGTATTCCATCGTTCGGACGCCAACTTAGGTACGTTGATAAGTCACCTTGTAAGCTAGCGCCCATATTGCGCAAATGCCGGGGTATTTTCTGTTGAAAGTTCCGGGGCGAAAATTCGAGACAAAGAAAAAATGTGATATTTTTTATTATTATAAGTTTTAGTATATTTGTATGAATAAGATATGATAAGTTATAAATTTCAGTTTTGATCTGTGTATGCGACTATTCCAGAGTGGAAAATGATACTCTAGTCTGAGAATAAGCCTAGGATTCAAACGCGTTACTCCAAGATGGATTACAGGTTAGGGTTTGATATTAAAGTTTATGATTCGTTCTATCGACGTGATTCAACAACATGTGTAATGAGAAGTGCTTGACAATCTATTTGAGTGTACACAGTTTTGTCGGTCCTATACATAATACTAGCCTGGGAACCCAGCTTTGCCCAGGTTATTCTTAGTTTCTCCCGCCGTACCGTTTAAACCCGGGCCGTGCTTGGTCTAAAATTACGATTTTAGCTATGTTTCCCTATAAAAGTATAGACCCTCTAAATTTAGAATCTCGGAACCAAGCAACTCGGTCAAGGGACTCCCGAGTTATGATCGGAAAAAGAAATTACAACTTTATATATATTACATTTACTGTCGAATATCCAGAAAATATCCCGCTGAGAAATCAACTGGGAAATCTGGTATCCCGTAGAGCTGAGATTTAGGATTCATTTTTATGCTATTTTAGAGTTAAATACTTAAATACTTAAATCTGGTATCCCGTAGAGCTGAGATTATAGGATTCATTTTTATGCTATTTTAGAGTTAAATACTTAAATACTTAAATCTGGTATCCCGTAGAGCTGAGATTATATGATTCATTTTTATGCTATTTTAGAGTTAAATACTTAAAGCATCTGCAGAAGCATAAGGCAAGCAGTCTTTGGAATCTAACAAGATGGGAGATTAACTGATTTCCTAAATGAGGTGGATGGGAGAAGGAAAGCAGCTTTGATATTTTACGCAGGCTGACTTATTTAATTAAAAAGTCACTTAAAAGGAATTTCAAAAGTCACATAATAACCTTTAAAGTTTATCTTACCCCCAAAAAAATTTGCTCTCGGACGAATCTCTTGTTTAAAATGTCCAAAATTTCGATCCAAATGCAAAATAAAAAAGCAAATATATTAAAATTAAAAATCAAAGCATTATCAACTAAAAATCCCCTTTAATCTGATAAAGAGGATATATATTATAATTTTAAATTACAAGGTCGTTTAATTATTATCTGATTTTCTTATTATTGTTACAAGTTACAACAAGCCATTATCGTTAATTATAATTATGCGTAGAATATGATAATAATGCTTAATTTAAATCTAATTAAACCTTAATTGTTTCCCGGCTTGAATTTGCATTCAGACAAATTTCACCTTTGACTTCGAGTAAACAAACACACAAACAAACACCCAAACACCCCAAACAAATAAACAAACAACAAAACAAATGAACGAACAACAAATTAAAACAGCACCAAAGCTTAACTATAGACTAAAAAAATGACTCAAGCTTATAAAATCAAATTCATATGGAAATTCTAATAAAAATGTGAATAAAAAGTCCTTCTAAAGAAAATTTGATCTCTAAAAATGAAAAAGAGACTGTAAGAGAACATTTAGATACGGTTAGAGATCGTTAGAGACGGTTAGAGATCGTTAGAGACCGTGAGAGATCGTTAGAGACCGTAAGAGATCATTGGTGAACGTGAGAGATCATTAGAGACAGTGAGAGATCGTTAGAGACGGTTAGAGATCATTAGAGACCGTGAGAGATCGCTAGAGACCGTGAGTGATCGTTAGAGACCGTAAGAGATCATTGGTGAACGTGAGAGATCATTAGAGACAGTGAGAGATCAGTAGAGACCGTTAAAGATCGTTAGAGACTGTTAGAGATCGTTAGAGAAAAGTAAGAGATCGTAAGAGACTGTTAGAGAAAACTGCGAAAAGACCTCTGTCTGGGAAAAGATAGGTTTGAAAACTAAACTCAAGAATCTATATCGAACTCAGTCTGCAGTATTATGCCTCATAGTTTTATCAATATTCAGGGATTAAATTAACATTTTTTTAAATAACAATTTTTTTCTAAATCAATTTCTTACTTGTTTTTATAACCATTTGTTTGATAAATTGAAATATATTGCCCTGTAAGCAGACACCTGCTTGAAAACAGAGGAATAAAATATCATATTGTTTCCAAGTTTTTATATAATATTCAATATTCAGTAGTTTTCCCGATAATATACATTTATATGTATTATATATATAGACATGTATATATATTATAGTCCTATAGAACTTTAACAAAGCTTAAGCAAATATTATCAATGTTTTAAAAACAATAATAAAACCATTCTTTAAAGATAATTGTCAGGCACTGCCTGATTCATAAGTTTTTATTATTTTGTGGCCTGCCAAGTTTTTATTGCCTTATAATAAAGAAAAAGTTGAATTAGGGGAATATTAAGTTTTGTTGAATCGTGATCTTTTTTAACATTTTGTATTCTGGATACTAGAGTTGATTAAACCTTTACCATTATGTTTATAATTGGATACATGAAAGAACAGAAAATAAAGTTGCTTGAATTACACCTAACTTCAAAACTAGAAAATCAACATTACTAATCATAAAAAAGCGTAAATGCGTTTGAGTTGGAGGTGAAACTTTGGGGCACTTTTTCATCTATTGTCCAAATTCACACTGCATCAGTTCTAAACTTTTCTTTTAAAAATTTTAACAGAAGATTGTAAAAAAAAATGTAATATTTCCTAAATCATTCAGATTTCTTTTTGTGAAAATCATTTATAAATGAAAATATACAACAACAAGATTTCGTCAAAATATATTAAGATGGGTATCAAGATATGTTAAATATTTGGACTGATCAAAACCTCAATAATTTGGAGAGATATTTCTCAGAGTATAAAAATAACTAATTTTTCAGTCTTAAATAATCCAATTTTCTGAAATATCAAAAAACTGAAGAATGGTAGGTATTTAGCGGCTCAAGATGTATCTTTTGATACCAATATCAACACTTTTTGAAAAAAAAACTAAACGTTAATTACCTAATAAGTTTTATTTTAAATTTGTGCATTGATAATGTTGCTCATAATTAGTTAATGCATAATATTTTGCTAGTGTAAACAAGATTGGACATATTCGATGAAACAGTTTCAGCCGTAGATAAATTTTAAATAAAGATGGGAGTGAACTAAAGAAAGTTTTTGTTCATGAATATATTCAACATATCATTAATTAATACATTGATGCACTACAGATAAGATTTATTTCATATTTACCAAAAATTATTTTGCTAAAATATCAAATACGAAAACCAAAATAGTTGGACCAAATTCTGACCAAATTATTTCAAATTAAAACCAAACATGTGATTGCTTGGTCTCCATACTCTTAGATATTAATAAAACAACCTATTCCAACATGTTACCAAGGATACTAAACCTGTATACAAGGATACTAAACCTGTATCCAAGGATACTAAACATGCATCCAAGAATCTAAGCCTGTATCCAAGGATACTAAACCTGTATCCAAGGATAGCAAATCTAAATCCAAGGATAGTAAACTTGTATCCAAGAATACTAAACCTGTATCCAAGGATACGAAGCCTGTATCCAAGGAAAGTAAAATTGTATCCAAGAATACTAAACCTATATCCAAGGAAACTAAGCCTGTATCCAAGGATACTAAACCTGTTTCCAAGAATAATAAACCTGTATGCAAGGATAGAAAACCTGTATCCAAGGATAGTAAACTTGTGTCCAAGGATAGCAAACCTGTATCCAAGGATAATAAACTTATATTAAAGAATACTAAACCTGTATTCAAGGAAACGGAACCTGTATTCAAGGATACTAAACCTGTATTTAAGGATACTTAACCTGTATCCAAGGATAGTAAACTTGTATCCAAGGATACTGAACATGTATTTAAGGATACAAAACCTGTATCAAAGAATACTAAACCTGTATTTAAGGATATGAAACCTGTATCCAAGGATACCAAACCTGTTTCCAAGGATAGTAAATTTGTATCCAAGGATATTAACCTGTATTCAAGGATACTAAACCTGTTTTCAAGGATACTAAGCCTGTATCCAAGGATACTAAACCTGTTTTTAAGGATACTAAGCCTGTATTCAAGGATACTAAACCTGTATCCAAGGATAGAAAACCTGTATCCAATGAAAGTAAAATTTTATCCAAGGATACTAAACCTGTATTCAAGGATACTAAACCTGTATTCAAGTATACTAAGCCTGTTCCCAAGGATAAACCTATATCCAAGGATTATCATTATCCGAGGATACTAAACATGTAACCAAGGATACTAAACCTGTATTCAAGGATACTAAACCTGTATCCAAGGATACTAAACCTGTATCCAAGGATACTAAACCTGTATCCAAGGATACTAAACCTGTATCCAAAGATACTAAACCCGTATCCAAAGTTGCTAAACCTATATCCAAGGATGCTATACCTGCATCCAAGGATACTAAACCCGTATCCAAAGTTGCTAAACCTGTATCCAAGCAAACTAAACCTATATCCAAGGATACTAAATCTTTATCCAAGGATACTAAACCTGTATCCAATGTTACTAAACCTGTATCCAAGGATACTAAACCTGTATCCAATGTTACTAAACCCGTATCCAAAGTTTCTAAACCTGTATCCAAGGATGCTATACCTGTATCCAAGGATACTAAACCCGTATCCAAAGTTGCTAAACCTGTATCCAAGGATACTAAACCTGTATCCAAGGATACTAAATCTTTATCCAAGGATACTAAACCTGTGTCCAAGGATACTAAACCTGTATCCAATGTTACTAAACCTGTATCCCAGCTCAGCTCTGCTCTAACTATAATAAATGAGACCCATTCATCAATTATTCCTTGTCATCTATAATACTTACAAACTCATTCTCAAAAATTCAGAAAATCTTAGAAAATATCCTTTTGACAAACATCTTCTACATACAGGGTGTCCCACAAAGGACAAGACGACTGAACATAACTTAATAAGAATCTTTTTAAGAGGGCTTTAAGGGGGCTTACAGCTTTAAACTTTTTTTATAAATCATCTAACATGTCATAAAAACAATTAAAGACCAATTGTACTATGACAATTGTGAACATTTTGAATCTAATCAAAGACAACTAGAAAAAAATCACTTCACCAAGTAATTTTACTAGAAAACATCTTCGGGTGTAAATATTTAAATCTTAGATTGAATGATTTTATTAAGTGACTTGAGGGTAAAAATTCTTGTTTTGAATAAAGATGTATTTATTTTTCAATTTATAACATGTATAGTGACCCCTCTATAGTCGCAATAACCCTACTGAAAAGTTTCTGGTATCTGCCTGCTTTAAAGATAAATTCAATTCGAAACTTAATTCAGAATAATTAAGAATTAGTTACAAATTGTGGCTATAGCTACTAAATCCTGTGGACATTAATTCTAAAATTTGGACCTTACACATTTGCATTATTCAAACAATGTAGGCATACAGTGAGACCCATTATATTCCGGAATAGGAAGACAAAATTATACCAAAATTATAGTGATATAAAAAAGTATACCTGTAGCTAGAAAATTAATATGCTAAGTTAAATGGGTTTGTGTTCACCCCACAACTGTTGTGTTTAATGTTCATTAGAATATAACTTGAATGTAATATTATCTTCAATCTTCAATCTTCAGTGTCTCACTATATTTCTTTTGATACAGTGAGAATCAGAAAACAGTGGAGTTTTCTTTTCTTTTAATTTTCAAATGCCACTGAGGAGTTTGTAAATTTCAACTGAATTAATTCTAAAAATGTGTCTTGGGCCCAGATAGCGAGAAGTAGCTGAACCGCACAGACAGAATAAACGAAATGTATTCCATAGTTTTCTGGTTCTTACTGTGTTCTTCAGGAATATTTAGATTTGTTTTTATTCTTTAGTTTTTTTCCTTCCTTGTTTTTCTATAGTATACATGTGTTTACTGTAGAAGTCTCTTGTGAATATATAATTAGATCAATAGAGAAAGTGCAAGGGTCAAAACAAACTTTTCTCTAAACAATATTTGTCGATTCTATTCCTTGTTTAGACGAGCACTGATAGTATTTGCAGGGAAAGAAAGCGAAAGTTATCTAGGGAGCATGAAGAAAATGCCTGCTTTCAAAGCAGCTAGCGTGCATACTTTACCAAGCATAAATCCAAAGCTGGAGTTGGATTTAACCTGTTGGAGTTGGAGTAAACCTATTAGAGTTGGAATAAACCTGTTGGAGTTGGAGTAAACCTGTCGGAGTTTGAGTAAACCTGTTGGAGCTGGAGTAAACCTGTCGGAGTTGGAGTAAACCTGCTGGAGTTGGAGTAAACCTGTTGGAGTTGGAGTAAACCTGTTGGAGTTGGAGTAAACCTGTCGGAGTTGGAGTAAACCTGTTGGAGTTGGATTTAACCTGTTAGAGTTGGATTAAATCTGTTGGAGTTGGAGAAACCTGTTGGATTTGGAGTAAACCTGTTGGAGTTGGAGTAAACCTGTTGTAGTTGGAGTAAACCTGTCGGAGTTGGAGTAAACCTGTTGGAGTTGGATTTAACCTGTTAGAGTTGGATTAAATCTGTTGGAGTTGGAGAAACCTGCTGGATTTGGAGTAAACCTGTTGGAGTTGGAGTAAACCTGTTGGAGTTAGAGCAAACCTGTTGAAGTTGGAATAAATATCTTGAAGTTAGAGTAAACCTGTTGGAGTTGGAGTAAACCTGTTGAAGTTAGAGTAAACCCGATGGAGTTGGAGTAAACCTGTTGGAGTGGAGTTAACCTGATAGAGTTAAAGTAAACATGTCGGAGTCAGAGTACACTTTTTGGAGTTGGAGTAAACCTGTTGGAGTAGGCGCAAACCTGTTGGAGTTGGAGTAAACCTGTTGGAGTTGGATTAAACCTCATAGAGTTAAGGTAAACTTGTTGGATTAAGCCCGTTAGAGTTGGAGTTAACCTTTTGGAGTTGGAGTAAACCTGTTGGAGTTGGAGCAAACCTGTAGGAGTTGGAGTAAACCTGTTGAAGTTGGAGTAAAACTGTTGTAGTTGGAGTTAATCTGTTGGAGTTGGAGTAAACCCGTTGGAGTTAGAGTTGAATTTGGAGCAAACCTCTTGGAATTGGAGTTTAAAGAATTTATTTGATGGCTGTATGTTCCAGACTACTTATTGCAAATTTTATAAGAAGAGTAAATAAGCTAGAAAAAATATCAACCTTCCAGTACTCTCACGGACAAAATATAGAAGATTTGACTTTATCTTTTGAAAATAAAACAATTGATTAAAATGTTAATGATTTCCAAACTGTAATAAAACTTTAATTCAAGTTAGATAAAAGTGATTAAAGCAAGGGGGGGGGGGGGGGATCAGGGTTTGCAAAATTAAAAGACTCGACATATTTATAACTTTAAAAATTTCATTTAAAATTGTTTTTATTGCAAAAGTAATTTTTTGTTCTGAAATGTAGTTTTGAAATGATACCCTTTTGTAAATCATCACTAAAAATCAGTTGTTAATAACAATTATTATATATGGTATAAGTAAAGTTTATGTGGGAGGTATATTTCAAATGTTTTAAAGTAAATGCATTATTAATGAATTCCATTAAATCTCGAATCAAATATTATGACAAATCTGCTAAAAAATATAATTTTAGCTGAGTCTGGAGAAGTGAATTTAAACTATTACCTTAGTTTTCTTTTTAAGAGTTTATGGATGTCCTATATATTTATCTGGTTTAGTCTAGATCTGCTTTAAAACCTGTTGTTTTTATGATATAGTGAGAACATCATATTATCAATGAACCGTCAGAAAATTAGTTCCAAATATTTTCAAAGAATCCAAATATAAACTTTAAGGATGCCCTTTTAGTCTTTTTTTTATTTTGTCGTTTTCTTTTTTACTCATGAGCTTCCACCCGGGGGCTGATAATACTTTAAACAAATCCTGATGATGAGACTAAAGTTTAAAGGGTATCGTTGTGAATCAGGTATGCTATTTATAAGTGGAGGCCAGGTCACTTGAAATTACGTCTTCAGTCCGTTTAAGTATTCTGATCCAATCTAGTCATGATAATTAATCCTGACTGAGAGGTATAATCGCATTATATTTTTTGTTGATTTTTTGAGATAATATTTTGTTATATCCATCATTTTCAATTTTAGAAAGATTCACAAAACGTTATTATATCTATAAATTGATGAATGAGTTATTTTTTAGTATATATTTTGTGGATCCAATTAATATTTTTCTTATGAATAAATGTCTAAACCATCCAATGTTGACATAAATATAAATTATGTTTGATAATACCGTCTCTGCTCTACACATGAAACCTGGTTAAAAGATGTTGAATTACTGAAGACTAAGTGCGGGATTTCTTTACCGGTATCTCCTCTCCATCCTTGATCCTCTACCAGTCCTCCGGACTCAACCATCGTAATATTCTCTCAAAGCCATTTTAATCTTTCAAAACTTTACCCTGCGGAGAACCTAGAGCTGTATTCAACCGTGAAGAATAATTTGGAGAAAGGCCGCAGTATTTTACGGACATGGATACAAAAGATACATTCTGTTAGGAATCTTGAACACCTTTAGTCATTGTTACTTTATAAAAACCAATGCTTACCTCTTTAACAATCTAAAAGGGGGGATATTTGTGCTTGCAACCTGGTGCTTTTTACCATCTCAGTATTTATTTCCTTAAATTAACCTGATTGAATAATGTTTAATTAATGCTTTTCTGAATTTAGTGATTCTACTCGGATCTTTTGACATCTAATTGTCCAATTGACCATGGTTGAAAATATATAATTGCCCAATTAAAAAAAAAAATCGTACTGAAGCCCCCTCAGAAAAGAACTTTTATTTCAAAACATGCGATATGGTTTAAACTAAACTACAATTTATCTGATTTGTTCTTTTAGCTCTGCTGTCTTTATAAAAATCAGCCTTTTAAGAGATAGGTTTAAATCATTCAGTAATTATGCTATTTACAAACAAGTCTGATAATACAGATAATACAGATAATACAGATAGTATGCATTGCAGGGCTAAAAAGTGGGGTGCGACAATTGTTTTTATTTTTCTCAATTTTGACTCGGCCGACCTCTAAAGATTTTGAACTACATTTTGAGCTTTGTAACAAAAGATATAATTAAAAAAGATATAATTACAAAATATATAACAAAACATATAATTACATATGATATAAGTAACATAAGATATAATTAAAAAAGATATAATTACAAAATATATAACAAAACATATAATTACATATGATATAAGTAACATAAGATATAAAGTACCAAAAATATAAGTCACTAAATATATAAAATGTTCTAATTAGCTCATATTGCAATGTATTTAAACACAAAAATAGTTCATATGAACCAGAAAGTAGTTCAAATGTATGTATTATCTCAGAGTTAGGTTGGGATAAGACAACAACGCAGGGGGTCCGAGCGCGCTGTGGCTAGGACAACGCAGGGGGTCCGAGCACGCTGTAGCTAGGAGTTTAAATGAACCAAAAAATAGTCTTAATGAAGTGTTCAAATAAACAAACTGCTTATAGTTTTCTCCTTTTATGTTATATCTTTTGTAACTTATATATTTTGTAAATTATATAAGCTTTATATTAGCTAAAAACAAAACACAATAGAAAATTTAACATTAACCAATTGAAAATTCTATTCTTAATAAGTTTTTTCTGATCGGTATTTATTGAAACCCCAATGAATAAACATTCCTTGTATATTTATGAGTAGATAATTAGTCAGCTCAAATCTCATTTTCAGGAATGCATTTATTGAACTTATTAATATATATTGATTCAGCAAAAGTAGCAATGTATTCTATTATAATGACTTAGCTATCCAACATTATTAAA